TCAGGCCTTTGCACATGCAACCCATTCTGCTTGTACTTCTTGAATGTGGGAACATCAGCACTATTGCACTCTTCTGAAATTTTACTCAACATAAACATCAGCAAGATCAGTAATTAGTGTAACTGCCAGTCTGTATAATCTCCAGATACATTCTGCTTAGTCACTAAGAGGAAGTACTCCTGCTAGTATTTGTAGACACTGCCCAAAAGTATGCTAGATCATTTAGAGAACAGTTATAAACAGTGGGTCTTCTTGAAGAACAAATAGTACAAACGCAACATCATGACAAGTATTACCTACAATATAAGATGTCTAAGCATGTGGTAAGAGAGAAGGGCAAGGAATAATGACCATTTTGAGAGAGGACCAAAAAGCAATACAAATTGTTAAAACAAAAGAAAGAGGAAATTATAACATTAAAGAGAGTAGAGAACAAGGTGGTAAGAACAGAAAAGGGCATGAAAGAGGGCAGGGCATGAAATGGGACAGCTATCTTCCTCAACTATGTATTTTTGTATAACTTCCACTATCACTTATTTTACACTGTGTTATTACTTTTAAAGTTACCTTGACCATATTTTATTTTATAATACATAGAAACAAGAGGAAAATGATGAGTGGTATAGCAATGGGGTGTTCTGATCAGCACTCCAGATTCAGACAAAACACAGTGTAAAGTTATGGAAGCATTAACTTAAACAACACTGCCTGGAGTACTAGTTTATCATCAAGCCAAAAGCAAATCTTTTTGCATTACCCTATACCCTTTCAAAATCCTCATATACATTACCTCTATTTTCAAAAAACAAAATCCAAAAATCACCACCTACATCGTTTTCATCCCTTCAGCCCTGGAATCCAAATCTTAAACACACAATGCTTTTAAAGCAGTGAAAATCAGAGTTGATTATTTATAAAGTAGGATAATTGTTTATAAAGCACTACAATAGCTTTGTGAGGCAGATATTTACACTACTGTGACTCACAGCCATCAATCTATCACTTTCTCTCCCTGAGGCCCAGCACCCTGCCCCACATCCCACCCACCCACAGTGACACTCAGAACCCACACAGTCTAGCTTCTTTGAGGGCTTCTTGTCAGAGATTTTGTTTCAGTCAGTGTAGCTACCCAATTTTTACCATGGCTGTACAATCACCAACACAGCAACTAAGCACAAGCAAGTTCGCAGTCAGTCAAGCCTTCCTAAAGCTTACTCTGGACTTGAAAGTAGTGGCTAACAGAGAGCCACCATTCTGTAGCTAGCCCACCATGTTTCCATCTGTCTTCTCTCCCTGGATAAAACAGATGACAATGCCAGCTGATTTTAGGCGGACACAAATACAAAGAAATCCTAAGGACCTCATGGTTAACCCGTGATGCTTTGCAAATTCGTGAAATGATGGATGATTTCATAACGAAATTCCTCTTGGGAAAATTTGTCTTCTACTGGGCCAAACTATCCATACCCAAGAGAAAATGAAATGTCTGTATTTTCAGAGCTCCAGAGCTGACTTTACAAGGAGAGCATTTTATCTTTAGGATAGCTAGGAAAAGGATCTCAAAACTCATGATTCTACAAACAGAAAAGTGTATATGCATATCACACAGGCTTAAACATAAGTCTTTATAAATAATGTCAGCATCCTAGCATCTTCTAAGAATCTTTTTTCTGTGGGTATCCTCTCAAGCTAGTCCTTTCATATAGAAATAAAGTACAAATTAAAAGTAAAAAAGCACATATGCAAAATATACATTCAGTAACCTTGTCAAAAAGGCACCACCTTAGTACATGACATTCAAAATGAACTCCAAGGGTCCCAAAAATTCCAGAAGAGAGACAGTCAAAGCAGCAGAGTTTGCTGCCCATCCTTCTTTTTAAGGCAGAAGCTCCACCACAGGAATACAGAAGTTCCACCACAGGAATACAGTGCACAACTGCAGCCAGGCGTATTTCACAGACCAAACCAGGCCAAAGGAGAGAGCAAATCTGGAAAGCTTCTGTTCTCCATGCCATCATGTTCCAGCAAATCCTGGCAAGAATTCATGCTGACCTGATCACTATTAGTTGCTACAGATTACAACTCAATACCATCTGCATTTCCTTTCCCCAGGAAGAGTAAAACAAGCATAAGGAGAAGAAGTTATGTATCTATTTTAAATCCACACATATTTACCCCAGGGAGTGAAAGGAGAAGAATAAATAGTCCACATTACAGATGTGAGTCACACTACTTAATGCACTTTTGGAAGATGCTCAAATACCACAGTGATGGGCACACCATAAGAATCTGAAAAGCACAAAACAGAAATAGAATGGAGAAAGGAAGTAGAGCCCAGCAACTAGCCATTCATACTGACACTCAATCACCATAAATTATCAAAAAAAAAAAAAAAAGAGGAAAACCATGCTTGCTGCTTTCTACAACATTTGAACAGTTCTTGTGATAACATCTCTAAATGTCAACTCTTGTTTTCAGCCTCCCTTTTTATCCTCCCATAATTCTCCATGGAATGAAATGACACAATTTTATTGCTTAGTCAGACAAAAATACCTCCCACTTCAAAAGGAGCTTGCCTTCGAGGAGAATTACACTTGAACAAAGACGGCAGGATTTAGCTCTATATTTATCTCTATGCAATAACAGTAGCTCATTCACATAAATATGGGGGTTTTTCTTTCTTCTGCTTTCTCTTCTCTTGACAGAAGAAAAACATCTGTCAAGAGAATTAAATTCAGTAATATCTACCTAAAAATGCAGTGCAAGCTCTGGGATGACTTTGTGGAGGGCTGTGCTTAATAAATCTGTAGATATTTTCAGAAATAAACATGTACCTGACAGTTCAAGGAGCTACTTCACTTTAAGAAAAATTAAACTGTCAAGTTATTCATCTGACATCAGGTCACTTGTCAGCATCCTGTAAAATACTATGGGCCCTCTATACAAATCTCACTGACAACAGCATTTTCCTGAGTAAGCTGTTTTAGGCTATCCATTGTGTTTAAATTTGATGTCACACAATTTCCCTTGTGGCTTATACTCATCTTTAGCAAGAAATAATGAGAAATTAAATCTCACATGAAGTTTATCTTTAGATTTGTGAAGACCTTTCTTTTGTCCATTCTCTGCTTCCAAGATTCTGAAGACTTCAAATTAAAACAGTTCTGGTTCCTTTCTTAAGTTGGTTTTACCTTGTTATTACTTGAGAACAGCTTATTTTCCATTTGTAGGCTTAACAGTTCAAGCTGATCCTAGTATCATACTGAAATTGTCCTTCGTATTGGATCATAAGTAGTACTGTCTTCAACAAAGGCTGCCGGGAGCGGTCTTTAAAACTGCAATGCTATTACTAAATATCTAAACTGTAGCTTGAATAATTTTCCATTTCCTTCTTTGTTAATGATTTTAGGGGTGCAGAAATTTTAGACAAAAATTGGTGGTTTTTTTTTATATGCCACACAATTTAGCACTGTAAAGGAGTCTAAAATGCTTTAAAAGTATCACAATAGCAGCAAATTTTACAGCTGAAGACTAAGAGGCAGTGACAAAACAAGATATGGCACTTTATTTCCAGTGCTCGCACCACTCTGACATTCTTGAAAATGTTCACCCAATAAAAGAACCTTTTTAAACAGACACTGAAATAGTTTGAGAAGATCGCCTCACAGTTTAGTAGGTGCCACACAAACGATAGCTAAAGTTTTTGTTATGACACAAACACTAATGCCATGAATCTTGGAAACAGACTTCCACAGCCAACAGCTAAAGCCTAGAAGCCAGCTTCCAGGTACTGAGTGTGATGGGCCAGCTGCAGGTAACAAGACCAAGCCACAGTACTGATTTTGGTATAAAAAACAGCTTAGTGTTTCAACTTCACAACACTCACAAAAATCATAGCCACGACAGCAGTAGCTTTGCCTATTTTTAAGCCACCAGAAGTCCGCATGATTCCTGTGCCATGAAGAGAGAACAGTTTCCTTGAGTTTACTCCGCTCCCCTCTCCCGGCAGCCGAGGGGAGGGCACGGCCCGCGCCGCGCACCACAGCGGGACCCCCGCACCTTTGGCGGGGCCGGATCCCCGCGAGGCCGGGGGCTCATGCCTTCCCCACCCGTGTCCGGCCAGCAACGGACTGGGCTGCAGGAGCTGCAGAGCCGCGGACAGCTCCCGGGGCTGGAGCCGGGCCGCGGACAGCTCCCGGGGCTGGAGCCGGGCCGCGGACAGCTCCCGGGGCTGGAGCCGGGCCGCGGACAGCTCCCGGGGCTGGAGCCGGGCCGCGGACAGCTCCCGGGGCTGGAGCCGGGCCGCGGACAGCTCCCGGGGCTGAGCAGGGCGGGCTGCAGGGAGTCCCGCTTCCCCGGGCGCCGGAACTCACGCTTGGAAAGAGCAGCGGGGCGGGGGCGGGCGGCAGACACGTTGTCGGGGGAAGATGGCGGCTGTGGCAAACCCACCCCAGCGAGACGGCCGGCGCCAAGGCCCCGGCGGTCTCTCTCTGCCCCGGGCGGCCGCACCAGTGCCCCGCAGGGCCGGCGCCACCAGCCCCGAGCCCGCCGCGCCCCCGGGATGGGGCCCGATGCCGCCGATCCGCCCCCATCCGGCGGCGCCAACCGCCGCCCCGACCCACCCCCCCTTCCTCCTGATGGCACACGCCGGGTGAGAACGGCACCTGTGCGGCCATGTTGGGCGCCTTGCCCCCGCCAGCGCCGGGGCGTGCGGAGTCGGAGCCGCCACGCCGCCGCCCGCCTCGTGCCGCGCGGCTGAGGCAAGGCGGCGAGCCCGGGCCGCGGCGCCCCGCCGACTTCCCGGCCCCGACGCTGCCCCGCCGTGCCCCACACTCGCCTGGCGCCGAGCAGCTGCCGAGGCACGGGCACCCCTGCCCGCCCCCCAGCTGCCCGGCTCCTCTCTCCCACCCCGGACGAGTAGCCCCCCGAGGACAGGGAAGAGACCTCCGCGCCCGCGACCACGGGCCGGGAGGACGAGAAAGGGATGCGCCCGCCCTTACTTGAGCACGGATTGCTCCTTCTCCTCTTCCTTCTTCTGGCGGTCCATGACGGCCAGAATGATCTTCCGCTCTTCCTCCGTGAGGTGGCTGAGGTCCGGCATCTCGGGCTGAGGAGCCTGCGGAGGCTGGGGAGCAGCGGGGCCACCCCGGGGCCCGGCGGGAGCCGACATGTTTGAAGGGAGCTCGCCGCCGCTACGGAAAGCGCTGCCCTAACTCCAGCGGGAGCGGCCGCCGCCGGCGCCGGGAGAAGCACATACAAATCAATACCCTGTAATCAACCGGCAGCCTAATGACGGCCCCTCCGGGTAGGGGCGGGGTGGCCAGCAGCCCCGACCTCGCTGCCACCCGCCCGGCCACCGGCTCGCCGGGGGCAGCGGGAGGACGGGGACGGAGGGGCCCCGGGGGCGAGCTGGGGGAGCGGGGGGGGAGAGAGCAGCGCTGGGAGAGGAAGGGCCAGAGGCGGGGAGTGGAGGGAGCGGGGAAAGGGCAGGATTCCTGCGGGAGCGCTGTGGTTTGGGTGCGAGAGCGATTGTCCTAACTCCGAACACCCAGAGGGGAAGGAGGGGGACGGAGCCAGCAGCGGGGGGTCAGGGGACGGGGGCAGAGGCTGCCGGGATGGGCCAGACAGGGGCCGGGTGACAGCGGGGCCCCGGCGCCCCGGGGCGCGCAGCAGGAAAAGCCCCAGCGGGCGAGCGCCAGTCCCGGCCGCCGGCCGCGGCTCATAGTTCCTCGCTGCCGTCCATGGAGGGGCCGGCGGAGCACCGTGCCCGCCTCCCGCCGCCGCCGCCGCCTCCCGCCGCCGCTCCTCCGCCGAGCCGCTCCGCTTCCTGCCGCCGCCTCGCTTGGCTGGTGCCCTCTCGGCTGCGGGATGGAGTCCGCCTAACCCATGGCATGGCGGAGATCCGGAGTCACGGGAGGGGGCTCCGCATCGCCCCGCCGCCTCCCCCACCTCAGCGGGGCCGGGGCCCGGCTGCCGCCCCTAGCGGCACCGCGCGGGTTGGGCGGCGGCGGCAGCGCTTATTTATTTATTTACCCCCGCACGAAAAATGGACGCGATAAAAATCACGCGAGGAAGGACAAGGAGGAGCCAAGGCGGAGGCGACGCGCTAGGAGGACCGAGCCCGGCGGCCGCGGGGGGGCAGAGGGCGGGGAGAACCTGCGCGGCCGCTGCTCCGGACGCCGGGGCTGCTCGGGGTCCAGGCGGGAAGGGGGGGGTAGCCGCTCGGTTGGGCCCGGCCCCGAGCGCAGCCCCAGAGACAAGGAGCCGTCGGGGGCAGCGCCGGCACCGGGAGGAGGAGGCAAGGAAAGGCGAAGAGCCGGGAGGGCAGCGGGTCCGCCACAGCCCTGTCCCCTCGAAGACCGTACGGCTTGGTCTGCAGTTCAGGCTGAGAACCAGAGAGCAACGGCAGGGAAGGCGCTGGACAGATTCCCCCCGGGCTGGGAACAGCACCGGAGTTCGACCGTGCGGGTCAAGCCCAGCAGAGCTACTGCTCCACCATCACCTATATAGCATCCTGCGGACGTGTCCTTAAGCCAACGCAGGTTATAAAATTTCCCCCCACTTCTGTCTGGACAGATTCCTCCAACCCAGCAGAACAGGAACATGACACCAGCGAGAAAAGGCTGGAGAAGGAAGTTCTCCCACCCTGGAAACCAGGCAGTGGTGAACTAAACCTCTCAAACTTCTTTTCCTACCTCTAAATGCTCCACATGGTCAGTCATTTTGATTGCAAGAAATACTTTCTGGAGAATCCTTCAATACCCAAAATGCCATCCAGCCCAAATAAACAGGAAATAATATATTCAAGAACACTGAAGAAACAATTCAATCCAGATCTGTAGGTTTTCAATCTGTTTACAGGCAGTAAAGTTCTACCTACTGCTCTGTCACATTATGATATGTAACTCCTATTTCTGGGGTTGTTTGGTCTGGAGAAAAGAAGGCTCAGGGGAGACTTTATCGCTTTCTACAGCCACCTGAAAGGAGGTTGCAGTGAGATGGGGGTCAGTCTCTTCTCCCCAGTAACAAGTGATAGAACAAGAGGAAGTGGCCTCAAGCTGCTCCAGGGGAGGTTTAGATTGGATATTAGGGAAAACTTCTTCACCAAGAGGGTGCTCAGGCATTGGAACAAGCTGCCCAGGGGAGCGGTGGAATCACCGTTCCTGTAAGTGTTCAAAAACCATGTAAATAAGCCCCTCAGTGACACGGTTTAGTGGCGGTCTTGGCAGTTCTGGGGTAACGGTTGGACTTGATGATTTTAAAGGTCTTTTCCAACCTACCTGAGTCTATGATTTCACATCAGTATTGGTTTATCATATGAATGCATGTAGCAATAATAAAATGGGTTTGTGTGGTTTAGTTTGGACTCTCCACCACAAAACATATGTTCCTGGAGCTGGTACTATTTCTAATGGACTGTAACTTCAACTTCCAACCAGGTACAAAGGCCTGAGATAAACAAACAAAAAAAAAAAGTCATTTTTTTGAAAGTATCCTGGTCGTGATTAGCTATAATTCCTCATCACATAAAACCTTGGATGTAGCTCTGCTAGTAGTTCTGCATGCAATGTTGGGCTGAAGACATCATTCTTTCAGGAAAACAAGTTCTGGAGGAAGCGATCACCAGAAGGACATAATAGGTTAGTTGTGGTAAAGGATCCTGTTCCATTTCTTACTGTAAAATTATGTATAAGAGAGCATTTGTAATTGCACATAAACCATTGTATAGACACTGAGCATACTATATTTAAGAAGATACCCTTGTAAAATAAACTGTATGATATTTCATCAAGTCCTAAAAGCATTCTGCTTTTCCAGTCCACATCACCTTCACCTTTCAGACTGGATTCCAGCCAGCTGGCTCTCACCCAGTTCCTTGTTTCTTCCAGTCACTAAATAAATCTGGCATTGAAATCAAAAAGAGGAGGAAATGGAGAACTGTGTGTCATCAGAGTACCAAAGATAGTACAGTGCTTATCAATCTAGAAATGTTGAATGGAAGAACTCACTGGACTGATCCCTTTGGGAAACTACATTTTATCCTGGAGAAGTGAGGAAAGACAGAAATCACTGATTTGCTTTTAAGAATAATTAAAAAGCACCTGACCACTTGAATGCAGTCTGCCTACACTGTCAATCTTCACGGTTCTTTCAAAAACCTTTGATGCCATGTCTCAACCCTGAACACTAATGCTATTCTGACCGTACTTCTCCTTGTAAGACATTTCTACAGTTCTTTGTGCATTGCTTCATTCATCTGGATTTCTTTCTGATGGATATTTACCTCTGAACTTTCTGGATTTACAGTGCCTCCTTCTGTAATCATTTCACCGCTCCTGTGATTTTTCATCACAAACTGCAAATACCTGCTCTTGGCATGACTGTAGAATTTCAAGAGTTTTCTTTTCTCCTTGGTATTTGCCCTGTTCCCACTAAATCCTGTACCATTAAGCAGGTAACTATAAACAAACAAATCCAGGGGCAGGAACTGTAATCCCCGTATATTATCTAGCTATTTGCTTTGAGAAGACAGAGCAGATTCACAACAGAAGGCGTCCCATGACTCACTGAAGAAATGGTTCAACTTGACCTTTCTATGCTTCTACCCTCCTTTCTCCCTACCAGTTCCACCAATCATTCCTCATGTTTTCCTGCAATTAAATCAAAACATAATTTGTTGACATTGATGTTAGCCTGCACAGAATTATCTCATACTGTTACTGTTATTTACATTACCCACATGACTTACTGATGAAACTATACTCAGAGCACAGACTTCTCTACCTACACCAGAGTAATGGTGTCAACAATAATCCACAGTCAACCAACAAGACAAATTATTACCATGTAGTATGATCATTTACAAAACTTATTTTTAAGGAACATTCATTTGTAATTCCCTCTGTAATGAAACGTCTATAAATTCTGACCTTCACATGCACGTGTCTCAGGTACCTGCCCTTCCTGTCCATCTCAGCTCTTGATCTGAACTCACTATCATAGTCTGAAAAAAACAGATTCTCATCCCTGTTTTATATTCTTCTGTTGGAATTGTTCTTCCACTGTATAATCCACAACTAAAAATTCATTCCAGTCATATAGCAAAAGTATGTGATATATGAGTTTTGGTGGCTTCTCTAAGTCATTTAAATACACTGACACGAGCATGGTTATTAATACAAATTTCCTGACACCTGTTTTTTTCTTCTGTTCCTTTCCAGTTCTGTTAGACAAGAGAGGTTCCCAAGGAAACAGTGGTATTGTAACCTGGTTTTATATATAGCCACAAAATGTTTTTCACTAAGGGTCTCATTACACTTTCTCCCATTTACTTCCTTACAGCAACTACAAGAGTAAATGAATTGGTAGATTCATTGTTCAAGCATGCTAAGTGTAATTCTTTCCTGAAAAGGTAATACTATCATCTGCTTTATAATGCTTTGTACAAGGGAGAAATCCAGTGTAACTAATTCTTTACATTATTTTCGTCCCAAGTTGAAGCTTCTACTTGGAAAACATCTTTACATAGTTGACATGAAAAAACTTAAGTATTCTGTTATGGATCAGTGAATGAAGAAAACGAAAAACATGTTCTTGGTTGAAAACCTCCAGTACTCAGACCTTCAATGATTCAGATCAGATGTATACTCAGCAAAAAATGCACCCTGTAGGACTCTTCCTGGAGGTATTTTGCAAGGGGTTTCTCAAATTCCTGTTGAAGAAGGACAAAACATTGCAACAATTTGTGAGTCCTGGGTCCTATACTAAGTGCTCTTAAACCATCGTTTACTGGTTTACTAGTGCAGTCTTGGAGGTTTCCCAGCTTTCCTGTCTAAAATGAGGAAGCTAATTACATTGTACAATATCACCTACAGTTTCATTTGGTTTCTATCAGGAGGATTTTGCTTACTCTATATGCATTTTTTTCTTCCCCAAGCAAATTTCTTTCAGTTGGATATTTCCACACAAGTGTTTTGAAGAATGCTAGATATTTATGGCTAAAGTTTAGTTCTCTTTATTTGTTACTCTGATTTTTCATAAGAGAGACATATCCATAATTTACACAGAGTTGCCCATACCCATCTGTCAACTACACTGAATGAAATAGCCCATCCTAGTTTCACTCGTAGACATTCTGTCCATAAGATGGTAAATATGATCAGTTCTAAAACCTTTATCATATCTCATTCATGTATTCTGTTCACATGCTCAGTTTGAAATATTCTGACTGAACTAAGTGTGACATATAACATGCTGAACTGGAGATGTAGGCAAAGTCTTTACAGGATCTTAAACTTATTCAGTATTTTCCATTTGAATTTGAAGATTCATTTTTGGTTGCTGTTCAGTAAGTTGAAATTCGAAGGAGGAAGATTTCCTGCATAATAAGAGTTATACATTTCTGTTTAATTCTTGACCTGTACTACCAATGTTTCTGAGTAACTGGGCAATAAGTTCATTCCTGTATTCTAACAGGCCCTGATAGTAATAAGTCAAGCTTTGCAACTGTCCAACTGATTTTCAAGAATCCTACCAA